TTTTTGGGGGGTTTTCCACCTTCTGTATTAAATCCTATGTTGTAGGTCACCGCTGTAGGTCACTAGAAAGCAGTAAGTGCAAATAACATGTTATTATGTACAGTTTGCTGGTTATTTTTTTATGTTGACCATAGTTCCTCTTTAAAGTCATTCAAACAACATTTTGTGCTGCGTGTTCTGCATTGTCCGGATTACATATACAGTAGTGGCTAAGGTCAACTAATTTTAACTTAAAAGATAAGGTAAAGAGGTCACAGTAACTGATCCAGACTTTCAATGTATAAAATAAACATATGGTCAGAGCAGAAACCGTACACCGTCCCATGTTATTTTTCCGTGGAATGGTTTCTAAACATATCAAATGTACCCAACAGGGGACTAGATTTTGGCAATTAGTGTAAGTGTTGAGGACAAACTATCTGAAACAGGAACTGTCTGCACTGCTTGTAGCACCTAATCAGATGTTTCTACTCAATCTACTGATACTGTAAAAAATGAAAGAAAGTATAAGAGGTCTCTTTAAAGCAGAACTGTGTCCAGGCTGTGGGCAATCAAATAGGTACAGTACATATTCCTAACAAGCAGTACATAGATGCTAAAAAAATGCCCTCACTGACCTTTGTAAATATAGGCACTGCGGAAGAGGCGTGAAAGTGTTCAACTCTGGGTATTTTTCTCTTTTTCTTCTTCCTGCTGCTGCAAACATTGAGGATGAATTGGTCAGCAGTGTCTGCAACTGCAGAGGTCAGTGATGGTTTGTTTTGAAGCACACCTTCACTTAGAAGTGAAAGTACCATTAATCTGCTTCTTCCTCATCCTCTAACATATTTTATTTTTTTTTTTAGGGGGGAGGGGAAGCAGGTACCTTTTTCTGACATGTCCCTGCACCCACTTTCACAATTCTCACCTACGCGAGAATTACATAGGCTTGGCCCACCCCCCTGCCTTAAACCTCTCGGGACAGGTTACAATTCCCAGGAAGCTTGATCTGACATATGCGCAGTGTGGAACACCAGGGAGTCACAGCCAGCATGCGCAGCTAGCAAGGAGGCACCATAGATCTGAAGACAGGCAAAGAACTGGCCCTGGTGAAGACAGCACTGGACTCTCGGGATGCTGAGTGTCTGTTTCTTAATATTCAGCAGCTACATTAATTAATTAAAAAAAATTACAACTGGAGTTACTCATTAAAGCTCATCTCTGGACAAACACACTTTATCTTGAGCATGCAAAGCGTGAAATACCTAATAAATCTGTGTCCTAGCATTCAACATTGTTCGCTCCTTTTTTTTGAGCAGTCCTCCCCAGAAGTCTGTCTTTAAGGTGCTCCATCCCTGAATATCCTATCCCCTGTATACTGGTCCCCATGATGCCCCACTGTAGAAAGCACCTGCGGCTTTTCTGTGGGTTAGTTGTGAGCCATAGACTTCAGTTACATCCCGCCGGTTTGGTGCACTTTCTGAAAGTACACCAAAACTCCTGAATGGAAAATGCAGTACACCCGCAAGATATAATAAAAGTCTATGGCAAAGGGCAGCTAACCCTCAGGAAAGCCGCAGGTGTACTGTACTGTACCACAGCGCATCAGTGTGAAAGCAGCCTTATAGGGGGCTCTGGTCAGTAAGGGCTCGTTTACATTTGGGGGTTGGTGAAACCCCATAGTTGAGACACGTTTTTATCACCACCCCTCCCAACCACTGGTGTAGCGCCAGGAGCCACAATGGCGATTCTGCCCCATGCTCCAGAGGGTATAAGAATAAAAATAAAAAATTTGAAATTCTGAACCATTTTATTTCATTGTGGCTGGTGACCAGTTACCAAATCACTTAAGGGGCCCTCACTCTTCAAGGTTGAGCATCCCTGGCCTAGATCATTCATGGCAATACCTAATGCAGCTTATAGTATAATGCTTCTGCTGCAGGCATACAGACACGGTCAGGGGCATATCTGCTGCGAGGCAAACAAGGCATCTGCCTTGGGCGGCATTTTTCAGGAGTGCGGCATCGCCCTCAAGCAGAAGGGACCAGTGCCGTCACTGCAAAGGGCTGTGCTTGGCCAGGGGGGCGTGCTCATTGTGTGCTAGAGCGGGGCGTGTTCGGGCGAGCTCGGCGGCGAGGATGGATGAGGAGACAAAGAACCTGTCAGCCATGGAGCCGGCTGGAGAGGGGGCGGGGTGGCACATAGAGGACTGTGCATTTCTGTGCATTTCCGTTTCTCCCCCCCCCCCCTCTCTCTCCCCCCTATCTCTCCCTCTCTCTCTCCCCCCCTCTCTCCCTCTCTCTCTCTCTCCCCTCTCACAGTCTCTGATTGCCTCCTGTACTATGCCCGCAGTCTCTGATCTCTCCTATATCCTGTCCACAGTCTCTGACCATCTCCTGTAGTATATCACCAGTCTCCGGTCATCTCCTGTACTATGTCTGCAGTCTCTGATCTTTCTTATATCCTGTCCACAGACTCTGACCATCTCCTGGAGTATATCAGCAGACTCTGATCATCCCCTGTATCCTGTCCACAGTCTCTGACCATCTCCTTTAGTATGTCAACAGACCCTAATCATCTCCTGTATCCTGTCTGCAGTCCCTGACCTTCTCCTGTATCCTATCCGCCGTCTCTGACCGTCTCCTGTCCGCTGTCTCTGACCATCTCCTGTATCCTGTCCTCAGTCTCTGACCGTCTCCTGTATCCTGTTCGCTGTCTTTGACCATCTCCTATATCCTGTCTGCCGTCTCTGACCGTCTCCTGTATCCTGTCTGCCGTCTCTGACCGTCTCCTGTATCCTGTCCGCCGTCTCTGACTGTCTCCTGTATCCTGTCCGCCGTTTCTGACCATCTACTGTATCCTGTCCGCCGTTTCTGACCATCTACTGTATCCTGTCCGCTGTCTCTGACCGTCTCCTGTATCCTGTCCACAGTCTCTGACCATCTCCTACAGTATAAGAAGTAAAAAAATCGAGCGCTGGGTATAGGGCATGTAGTAGCTGCTAGCATCAAAAGGTACCTCGAGAACCCATACACAGATATAAAAATAATAAAATATGCAGCGCTAAAGAAATAAGCTATATTAGAAAAAACACAAAATGTCTAAAATAAATATGAAAACAATACAAAATGAAGGTAAGTCCAATACATCAGCATCTTAAGTAATGCATATAGGTGATAAACCTATATGAATTTGTAACAATGCACTTTATTGTTACAACTTCATATAGGTTTATCACCTATATGCATTACTTAAGATGCTGATGTATTGGACTTACCTTCATTTTGTATTGTTTTCATATTTATTTTAGACATTTTGTGTTTTTTCTAATATAGCTTATTTCTTTAGCGCTGCATCTTTTATTATTTTTATATCTCCTAGAGTATGTCAGCAGACTCTGATCATCTCCTGTATCCTGTCCTCAGTCTCTGACCATCTCCTGTATGCTCTCCACAATCTCTGACCATCCCCTGTATCCTGTCCGCAGTCTCTGACCGTCTACTGTATTCTGTCCGCAGTCTCTGACCGTCACATATATCCTGTCCGCAGTCTCTGACCGTCTCCTGTATCCTGTCCAGTCTCTGACCGTCTCCTGTATCGTGTCTGCAGTCTCTGACAAACTCCTGGAGGTGCAGCTCTAATAGGAAGAGGTGGAGCCTAAATCAGAAGGGGTGAAGTTTACAGATGAAGAGGTGGATCCTAAACAAGAAGGGGTGGGGCAAATTTAGATGGGTGTGTGTAATTTTAGTCTTGCCTAGGGCAGCACAAAACCAAAATACACCACTGGACACGGGTGTAACTTTGCATAGAATATGAATAACTAAGTGTGTTCGGGATGTGGAGAGAAACCTGTTCACCCAGGAAAGCACAAGAAAATTGAGAAAACATAAAAACCCCATGAATATAGAGGCCTGGAGATTTCAGACCAGTACTGAAGTAATTAGAAGAGCAGAAGCTTAATCACCATGCTGTTGAATTATGACAAAATGGAGCTTTGTACACGAATGTAGAACAATCTAGAGCAGGGGTCTCCTAATTTTCAGTGTGAAAGCCACATTGCATATATTACAAATATTTTCAGGCTGAAAAAAAAATCTGTTAAATTCAATACAATTTAAATGAATGAATAAACAAGATGCTCCACCTCGGCGTTCTTCCTTAACCCCTGCAAAGCAAAAGAAGAGAGCCAGAAATTCTGGAGGGGAAGATGTCATTCTAGTTGTAGATTTAGCTCAGTGACAGCCTGCCAGAATAGATAGGATCAGTGACAGCAGCTTCCCTGTACAGCTCTGCTTGTGGAGACCATATCTGTATTACTGTATACATTACTACCCCTATGCTGTACCCTCCTGCCCCCTGTATTGTGTCCGCCTGCCTCCCCCATACTGTGCTCCCTCGTGCTGTACCCTCCTAACCACTGCAATGTGCCCTCCTGCCTGCTCCCTGGATTGTACGCTCCTGCCCCCCTATGCTGTAACCTCCTGTTCCCCCTGAAATTTTGTAAGTTATGTTGTGTTTGTGTCTGCTAATAATGATTTCTGTGTATTTTTAGTGAAAATATTGAGTTGATATTTTTTTGGAGGGGCCCTGTCAGGTAGGCTGTACGGGGCCCTGTGATTTATAACAGCAGCCCTGAGTGTGAAACTGCTAAAGAAATGTGAGAAGGATTATAAAAGGTATATGAAAGAGCTAATCTCAGCAGTAAACTGCATTTGATTAGAAAGCTTCTACAAAGCAAAATGATGAAAGACCAGGATATGCAGGATTACATAAGGCACACCCTGAAAATGACTGAACGCCTGAGAGGTATAGGAGAAGAAATAAAAGATTTTCATGTCACAGCACTATTACTTTGTGATTTACCAGAAAGTTATGAAACATTTGTCACAGCACTTGATGCACGTCCAGATGATGAACTGACATTGGAATATGTTAAGGGCAAGCCTATAGATGAATATAAGCATAGAACAGAAAGCATTAATAGTGATTATGCTTCTGTCACAGAGTCTGCATTGAAGATGAAAAATAAAAATAAAATAAAAACAGTAAAATGCAACAAGAAACACGTGAATGCTTTGTGTTCAAGAAATGAGGTAATTTAAAAGCAAATTGCAGAATCTGGAAAGCCAGAATGCGAAAACAAACTAAACTACAAAAGGCCAAAAGAAAGAAACTGATTTTTCTTCAGATAATAAATATGGGTTTCAATCAGGGGCGGACTGACTATTTGGAAATTCGGGCACTGCCCGAGGGCCTGGGGTCAGTTGGGGGCCCCATGAGATCCCCCTGGTACCTTTTTCATAGGCTTTTTTTGAGTTTGGGCAAGGACACAGTGGCTCCATGAGCTCTCAGTCTGCGTCTGGTTTCAATCCAAAAGTTGCACCTAACATTTTCAGGCATGGTGTGTTGATTCAGAAGCTATGAGTCACATGACAAATGACAGAAATTTCTTTATTCACCTTGACCAGAGTAAAACAGAAAAAAAAAATCACCACAGCTAGTAGGCAAATATTGGAATAGGAGAAGGTTTTTTTAATTGTCCTATTTCCCGGAGTCTCACCAGAAAGATACCTGTGAAAAATGTGCTGTATGTCCCTTGCTCTTGAAACTAATCTTTTGTCAGTGAAGAAGCTCACAAAACAAGGCAATGTAGTGACCTTCCAAGATGACAATTGTGCCATCACATAAGGGGGATATCTTACTTTCAAAGGCTAAAATTACAGATGAACTGCAATGAGGTGGTTAATACTGCCAAGGAGGAAAAACATTCAAACTGCATTCACACATGGCACAGACAACTTGAACACAGAAGTCCTGACATAATTAGGAAATTAATTGAGAATGACGATGCAAATGGAATAAAAATTAGTCCATGTGATCAAACAATGAAATGCCTCAGCTGTATAAAAGGAAAAATGACAAGAAAAGCCTTTCCAAAGCAGAGAAGCAGCAGATAAACACATGTGGACTGTGCACTGTAGGGATTCTGTAGGGCTATATACAGAATCCTTAACTCCTTAACAACATGCCATTGCTGACTTCCTATTCTGAAAATGCTAGTTTCCTGGCTGTCATGCTCTACCACTGACATAGAACATGCAAGGACTTCAGATTTTTCCTACTTGTTCCAGGTCTGAGGCTCAAAACAGTACAGCTAATATGACAGTATACCAGGCTAGGTACATTGTGATCTGAATGAAGGTAGCCCATTCATTTCAATGGGCTGCCCTACTCACAGAAAATAGGGGAAAGAAGTCCCTGGCCCTTTTTTAAATTGTGCCTCACTGAGGTGCATGCAAAAATACGCCATGTTTGACAATGTTTGGAGGTATGATTAATTGTTAATGGAATCCTGCGCATCTACTAAAGTACAGCACATCCTCAACCCGCAGTAATGTGAACCTAGCCTAGGCAAGTAGCATTTTCAGAAAGAAATCAACAACAGCAGCCTGCATATTTCACTCATGACCGTTTTGATTTTGATATAGAGATTTGCAAATAAGCCTTTATAGGGGGCTTTGTACTTTACTCAGCGTGAACCCATGAGGGTAGATAAGTGCAGACTCTAGGGTTGTCATTCTGATCCTGGCTTCATTGAGTACTTACTGACCTAGAACAAGCATGCAGAACAGATTTTGTCAGACTTTGTTGTCTATATGCTTGTTCCAGGCATCTTCCATATTGGTATCCTCACTGGTTCCTGCAGTGCAGAGTAGAAATTGAAACAAAGAGCCCATTTATAAGGCAGCTGTATGGCCTTACCTTACCTTTGATGCTTAAAAAAAGGTGATATGCTCTACAAATGTGTATTACATTTTGCTTGTTTGGGGATTGAAGCAAGCAAACCACTATTCATAACAGCTGCATGAAATATATAGTGGTAGAAGGATAGCCTGGGCACAAGACCTGTTAAAATGATGTGATTAGCCTCTCCTCCCAACACAGAGTTCTGACAAGCAGGGTCATAATTAATATTTCATTTAAAAAATAAACATACATACATGAAGGGGCAGCACAGTACGAGGGTCATTGGTTCGAATCCCAGCCACGGAACCTTCTGTCTGGAGTTTGCATGTTCTACCTGTGCCTGCATGGGCTTCCTCCAGGTACTTCAGCTTCCTCCCACACTCCAAAAACATGCTGGTAGGTTAATTGGATCCCATCCAAATTGTCCCTAGTATGTGTATGTATGAATGTAAGTTAGGGACCTTACAAGATAGCCCCTTGAGGGTTAGGGACTGATGTGAATGTACAATATACATGTAAAGTGCTGCATAAATTGAGAGCGCTATATAAGTACCTGAAAAATAAATACATTAATATTATATGAATAACCCCAATGTGAAATATTGTTGGACAACTCATAGGAAATAAACTTGCAGAGTCAAGCCCTCTTACAAAGAGCTCTTTCATGGGGGTTGTATGGAAATTCTTTAGTTAATTAGATAGTAATGTCATTTTTGCATGTTGTCATGTTGTATGCAGGGGCGGACTGACAACTCATGGGGCCCTCGGGCAATAGGGGATCATGGGGCCCCTGTGTCCTTGATCAAACTCAAAAAAGCCTATGAAAAAGGTACCAGGTGCATCTCATGGGGCCCCCTACTGACCCCAGGCCCACGGGCAGTGCCCGAGTTTCCAAATGGTCAGTCCGCCCCTGGTTGTATGTACCACACTTCAATGACAATAAGACTGTAAAGCCCAAGAAACGATGGTGAGAATGACATTCAGGTCAGATAATACGGGGAATTGTGCTGCATAGCTTGTCTGTAATGAAAGCTGGGGCTTTCCGATGAATACAGATTCATCCACAAATGTTTGAAATCTGGGACTGTCCTTAAATATTTAGCACATGTGACAGCTATGAAAATGGAATGTAAATGTGATCATTGTGATTCCCAAAGACAGACCTAGCAAACCTGACTTCTTCTTTATTTTTGAAGCTGGACCCCCTTTGAGCCATAAAAAATCCAATTAATATCTTTTGATGTAGCAGTCTGAAAATTTAGCACTGGTGTACATACAGATGGCACAAATCTAAGAGCATAGGGCTTTTGTTTTTAGGTAATGCTCTTGTGTATTGGGCCATCCCCCCTGTGTAAAATGTTCTAAACAGTCAAATACACAATGATTCTGCCAGACAGGCATTCCGAACTCTACCCATCTGAGTCTCCCTGCAGGCTAAATATGCACAGCCCTAATCCTTTAGAAATAAATTACTCACAGTCCTGCACTACTCCTATTGCATTCTATAGTTAGCATTCACAAGGAGGCGTATAGATTTAAAATGGACTTACAAGTAAACACTGAATTCACTAGCTGCTTATGTTAGCCTTTCTTTTGCTCTTGCGCTACTCCATTCAGCCTCCAGAAGTGAGAGAGAAAAAGCAGTGCATATGTTTTATATTGCAAATCAAAACTGATGTAGGACTGGGGACAAAACTGGGTTATTGCTGGACTGAACACAAGCACTGTCATGTTGAAGGAACAGAAGTCACAAAATACCCCTACCTGGTAGTAATGGGTATTTTTCTTCCTGCGAATGGAATGCCATGGGAGTTAAGCAAAGTGATTATAAGCAGCTAATTCTATATTAAATATAGAAACAAAGAAAAGTGATAACAAAAAAGGATCTAATGGTCAATCAAATGTAACCCATGTTTAAAAACGTTTTATGTGAGTATAGATCTATGTTTGTCCTTATTAGTGAAGTGCTTGAGTTTGGTCAGAACTTGAGTTTGGCTGAACCTGGAAGGCAACTACCATTCCTTAGACAATGGGCTGTGGCTAGGACCACTAACCCATAGCCGCATGTGCACAAAGGGGCAGAAATGGCCCGTGGTCATATTTAGTCAATCAGATCACAAGCATCCCCACCCGTTTGTGTATGTGCAGCTGTGGGGTGGGGAATTCTCTACCCTCAACTCATTGGCCTAACACGGACAGCTGACTTCTGGGTTCAGCTGAACATGGGTTTGATCCAAAGGTGAGCCCAAGCTCACAGTCAAATACCTGGTTGGGGCCAAGTGGGTAAGAGGGCTTCCCTTACACCTCTTATCCTGTTTCCTCTGGAGATGATGACAGAGTATAGCAAGGCTCAGAGTGGCACAGGTGCCTGCAGGAGATCTGGTGGCAGGTGCAAAGCAGAAGGTGCAGAAAGCAGGCTGGCAGGAAGCAGATACAGGATCTCAGATGTGTGGTCAGACAGGCTGGAGTCGGCAACAATTGGGCAGCAGGAGTACAGATCAAAGTCAGAGAAGGCCAAGGTCAGTATTAAACAAGCAAAGGAGGTACCAGAACAGCAAGCAGGAAACTAGGTCAGATCACAAGTCGGGGTCAGCAACAGAGGTTCAGGAATGAGGAGGATCACCAAGCTGGGTCGGGATACGGGTGCACACGGAAGGCCGCAAGCAGTAGGAGCTGAAAATCACTCAGTACTGATCCTAAGTGCTTTAGGGCTTTAAATAGGTCACTGGACTCTAAATTCCATCAAACATGCACTCTCACAAGCATGTGTAGCATGCTAATGCACATGTTCACATGCATGCGCATGTGCTTGTATAGATGCACACATGGTCCTAATTCTATGCCCAGTGCTCTGGAATGTTCTACGCACAGTGCATTTCTTCCAGCACGGGTTTGAGCATGGTTTTCCTGACACTCAATCTTGGTCCTGAGCATCTTTAAATTCTCTTACTGTTGATTGACTCACTATCTTTGCTGGAAATTTATTTACTGAAAGAGTACTTAATGAGTACTTAATGTATGAAACAAAGTACATCTAAAGCCAACATTTAATTTTAAACAGAGTAGATAATGGTAAAACCTTTTTTAGGCTTTGCGTTTATTTCTGTATGTGTCCCACCGGGGAGATTTCCTTTCTCTACCTCTCCCAAAGACACAACAGAAGGTTAGAATAAATCTTTCCACAGTGAGAATTTTTTTTGTCTTTGTGACTTGATTTGGGTTGATTTCCCTCACTTCTCTTTCCTGTGACCCTCCTATGACTGGAGGAACACAATAACTGGAGAGGAGTGGAAGTGTTCAACTCATTGTTTGGTTGAGTCTACCTGCTGCTTGTGGCTGGGCAGCAGACATGCAGCAATACAAAGGTAAGTATATAAACATTTCTTTTACAGGTGACCTCTTTGGTAAAAGTGACCATGTTTTGGGTCACTTTAAGATGGAGCAGAATGGAAAACTGTTTAAAATCAGGTTTTTCTTCTAGTCTGGAGGGTCTTTTTTGTTATGGTTCACCATCCTATTAGAGAGTGT